TATAAAAATATATATATATGAGAAAAAAGTAAAGCCGGGGTTTGGAGGCTGCACGCCTGTCATGCTTAGCCATCTAGGAGGGCCTGAGGCGGGAGGATCGCTCGAGGTCAGGAGTTCAAGGCAGCCTGAGCAAGGAGCGAGTCCCATCTTATTAGAAAAAAAAAAAAAAAACAGAAAGAAATGAGCCGGACAACTAAAAATATATTCAAAAAACGAGCCGGGCATGGTGGTGCATGCCTGTAGTCCCAGCCACTCGGGAGGGAGGCCGAGACAGGAGGCTCGCCCGAGGCCAGGAGTTGGAGGCTGCTGTGAGCGAGGCTGACGCCACGGCACTCTAGCCCGGGCGACAGTGCGAGACTGTGTGTCAAAAATAATAATAATAATTAAGTGAATCTACTCCGCAGCCCAGAAAACATCAAAGAAGCCAAAGTCTACTTAGACTCTGTCTCAAAAAAACAAATAAACAACAGCAACAAAAAAACGAAACTCATTTTACGTTGCGTCATTTGGGGAAATCGCAAAAAGAATCACGGTACGAAAAAGAGCCAAAGGGAAGGGTTTATTTAAGGGGATAGTTGAATACACAAAGGAAAAAAACAAAACAACAACAAAAAAACAAACTAAAAAAGGAAATCTTACATGGATAACATTCTTCTTTTTCAGTTTTTCTTGGGCATCTTCTCTTACGGTCACGTCAAAACTCAGCCGGGGGCCGAAGCCCGGGTTAAGAAAACACAAAATCCAAAATTCATAATGCACGTTTCCACCAAACTCTGAAAAGTTGGGGGGCTGCCTCGCCTCGGCCGGACGTCTCTGGGAAACCCCCAGAAGGCAGCAGGAGGAAACCCTGAAACCGCCGATCGTTCGACGGGACGGTCACCCTGTACCTTCCCGAGGATCCCTAACCCCGCTCGGGAAGTCGTTTTCTGAACGTGCTCTCGTTTCCATCTCCTTGGGTGTGCGTCAAACTTTTCCCTTTTCTCCCTTTTGACCAGTTATTGAGTCCTTTTTTTTTTTTCTAGCTGGTGTTGCAGGTGACCACCTGGCCGTCACTTCGGGGATACGACAATCATCCCGTACCTCTATGAGGATGTGTAATCCCGCTCTCAAAGTCTTCTTCTGATTGTTGTTCCATCTCTTCGGGGAGGATATTAATCCCACTCTGGGAGTCTTTTTCTGAACGTGCTATCGGTTCCATCTCCTTTGGGAGGATATTAATCCCACTCTGGGAGTCTTTTTCTGAACGTGCTATCGGTTCCATCTCCTTTGGGAGGATATTAATCCCACTCTGGGAGTCTTTTTCTGAACGTGCTATCGGTTCCATCTCCTTGGGGAGGATATTGATCCCACTCTTGGAGTCTTTTTCTGAACGTGCTATCGGTTCCATCTCCTTGGGGAGGATATTAATCCCACTCTTGGAGTCTTTTTCTGAACATGCTATCGGTTCCATCTCCTTGGGGAGGATATTGATCCCACTCTTGGAGTCTTTTTCTGAACATGCTATCGGTTCCATCTCCTTGGGGAGGATATTAATCCCACTCTGGGAGTCTTTTTCTGAACCTGCTATCGGTTCCATCTCCTTGGGGAGGATATTGATCCCACTCTGGGAGTCTTTTTCTGAATTTCCTATCGGTTCCATCTCCTTTGGGATGATATTAATCCCACTCTGGGACTCTTTTTCTGAACGTGCTATCGGTTCCATCTCCTTGGGGAGGATATTAATCCCACTCTTGGAGTCTTTTTTCTGAACGTGCTATCGGTTCCATCTCCTCGGGGAGGATATTAATCCCACTCTGGGAGTCTTTTTCTGAACGTGCTATCGGTTCCATCTCCTTGGGGAGGATATTGATCCCACTCTGGGAGTCTTTTTCTGAACGTGCTATCGGTTCCATCTCCTCGGGGAGGATATTAATCCCACTCTGGGAGTCTTTTTCTGAACGTGCTATCGGTTCCATCTCCTTGGGGAGGATATTGATCCCACTCTGGGAGTCTTTTTCTGAACGTGCTATGGGTTCCATCTCCTTTGGGAGGATATTGATCCCACTCTGGGAGTCTTTTTCTGAACGTGCTATCGGTTCCATCTCCTCGGGGAGGATATTGATCCCGCTCTGGGAGTCTTTTTCTGAACCTGCTATCGGTTCCATCTCCTTGGGGAGGATATTAATCTCGCTCTTGCAGTCTTTTTCTGAACATGGTATCGGTTCCGTCTTCTAAGGGAGGATATTAATCCCACTCTTGGAGTCTTTTTCTGAACCTGCTATCGGTTTCAATCCTTGGGGAGGATATTGATCCCACTCTTGGAATCTTCTTCTGAACATGCTATCGGTTCCACGTCCTTGGATGTGGGTCAAAACTTTCCCCTTTCCTGTCTTTTTTCTAACATGATCAGAGTTCCCTCTTTTCTAAATGATAATAATAAAAAAATACGTTTGGTGGCCATGACCACAACCTCAACCACTTGCTCTTAGGGAGTGAAATCACATTGCCCGCGGGGAGGCCCCAGGGGCACGGAAAACCACTGGCTTATTATTTTATTTTATTATTTTTTTGAGCCGGAGTCTCACTTCATTGCCCAGGGTAGAGTGCATGTCGTGGCGTCACCCTGGTTTATGTTTTGTTTTGTTTTTTTTTTTGAACTCCTGACCTCGAGCGATCCTCCCGCCTCGGCCTCCCAGAGTGCTAGGATGACAGACGTGAGCCTCTGCGCCTGGCCTATTTTTTTTAAAAAAAAAGCCCCGAACCTACTAAACAGACACACCACGCGCATGGTTATCTTTGATTAAAACACACAAAGCATAAAAATAATAAAATAAAATAAATGAGACAGGGGCCCACACGGGAGACTCTTACGAACCGGGATCCTGAGAGACAGGGGAGGGCTTGACAATTGAAGGCTGAGGCTCTGGCTGGGGCTGCCTGGGGAGGAGCAAGGGGCAGACACGAGGAGGCCAGAGCTCGGGGCTGGGGGAGAGTGGTGTTTATTATCATTATTGTTAAAAAAAAAAAAAAAGCTTAGATCATGGAAGAAAGAAAGGAGGCGGGGCGGAGGTGCCGGCGGCTGGTGGCATTGGTCACTGGGCAATGGAGAAGAACACAGGAGACCCGGACAGGTAGGAGCAGAAGGAGGCCTGGGGGACGTGCTGAGAGGAGCCGGCCCCGGGCCTGAAGCTGAGGCAGGGACACAGGGCCGGCCCGTACCCCTGGGCTTGGGCCTGCAGGGGCTCCAGGAACTGAGCCACCTCCGGCCAGCCTCCCGGGGCTCCGGGGCCCCCTGGTGGCGGCTGCAGCAGCAGCATGCTGGGCAGCGTCCAGGCCGATCCTGCGAGCGGAAGAGCTGGCCCATGCAGAGCCCTTTCCGGGAGCAGAAGAGCCGGCCCATGCAGAGCCCTTTCCGGGAGCAGAAGAGCCGGCCCATGCAGAGCCCTTTCCAGCAGCGGAAGAGCCGGCCCATGCAGAGCCCTTTCCGGGAGCGGAAGAGCCGGCCCATGCAGAGCCCTTTCCAGAAGCGGAAGAGCCGGCCCGTGCAGAGCCCTTTCCAGAAGCGGAAGAGCCGGCCCATGCAGAGCCCTTTCTGGGAGCAGAAGAGCCGGCCCGTGCAGAGCCCTTTCCTGCTCTTCGCGCTGACGGTTGTCTCGCTGCTGGGCTTGCAGGGCCGGTTCCACCGGGGTGGCCGGTCTCTCGGGGTCCCTGCGGCGGCCGGACGTCCTGGCCCCCCGGCGGCGGCCGGACGCCCCCCGGCCCCGTCGCTCGGCCGGTGGGCTGCCTGGCCGTCCAGCTGCACGGCGGGCTCTTCCAGTGGAGGCTGTTCCTTCTCGGGGTTCCTCTCTGTAAGCCGGGGTCTCCATCATCATGGGCCTCACGTACGCGATGGGCTTCTTCGAGGGCCGGCGGGGCTCCCCGGTGGTGGCCTCCGGGCCTCCACGGTCCGAAGCAGAGCGCCCTGGTTCCTCCGAGTGACCGTCTAGTGGGGAAACAGAGGAAAAGCAGAGAGTGAGTGGAGGTGAGTGGAGGGAGGCTCAGAGGAGAAAGGAGGGCAGGAGGGAGGCTCGGGAGGGAGGCTCAGAAGGGAGGCTCAGAGGAGAAAGGAGGACAGGAAGGAGGCTCAGGAGGGAGGCTCAGAGGAGAAACTAGGACAGGAGAGAGGCTCAGAGGAGAAATAAATATAAAATATAAGACCTCCCCAAAATATAAGACCTAGCAGGATGTCTAAGCTTTTGCACAAAATATAGGCCCTACCCCAAAAAATATAAGACCCCCCCAAAAAATATAAGACCCCCCAAAAAATATAAGATCCCCCAAAAACGTAAGCCCTCCCCATAAAACAAGCCCCGGCAGGGGTGTCTGAGCATTGGAACCGTCAAAGCCCGACCCCGGCAACGGGCCCTAGCAACAGTTGCCATGGTTACACAGCAGCAAAGTGTTGCACGACCCCTGGGTGGGGTCGCCGGGGGCGGGGCAGACGCCCAGAGGCCCTTCCCGTCCGCCCCCACGTCGTGTATAGAGCTCCGGGGCTCGACAGGAGAGGCCGGTTCTAGAAGGTTCTAAAGGGGAAACTGAGTCACAAGAGGCTGCTCGGGATGGGGTCCGGGGTCTGGGGAGCGAGAAGGAGGTTCCAGAGGTAGACGTCTTCCTCGTGTTGGATTCCACGGAGAGGGTTGCACCGTGCTTAAAAAAAAAAAAATGACAGTCCCCCGAAAATCAGCCTTATTGGGGTGTCTTCTTGGGGGACAATAAATACAAGGCCCCGTCTTAGTTTCGGGGAGACTCGGTAGGTAGAGTTCGCTGGAGAGATTGAGTCTTTGTGGGTTTTTTTTGAGACAAGAGTCTCGCTCTGTCGCCCGGGCTGGAGTGAGTGCCGTGGCGTCAGCCTC